AACAAACAATTTGCTAAATCCTTCTTCTCCGACAAATGAGGGCCCATGCCCTGCTCTAGGTGTACCAGCTGGGACACATAGACACAGGAGGGACACAGAGGGAAGGAGTAATGCCTGGATGCTATGCTCCGCTGCGCTGAAAAAAAAGACACAGAGGTGCTTTTTGGAGTTGGGGTTTAGGGTGCAGGTATGGGGGCCCCAGGGACACGGGCAGCAGAGAGTAAGTGCAAGCTCCAAATATTTCCCCAAAACTAAGTCAGGTGGGACCATGTTGTGACTTTTCAAGTGTACATCAGTGCTCATGGCTGGCAAAGGACTGCCATTCGTGGTTTACATCCCTGTTCAAAGCCTGTGTAACAAGTGCTAAAGCAAACAGTACTCCCATTTCCCCCAAAGTCACCCCCAGATGGAAGGGTCATTTCATACAGAATAGGTAAGTCCAGTCTTCGCTCCTCCCAGCAGTGCTCCATGAAGATGCTCCAGCCACCAACCCCTTCTGCAGGACCACTGGTTCCCATTCACCTTCTGCCCAAATTGTTGGCTGTGTTGGCAGATTTCAAGAACTGAGACAGCCCTAACCAGTGATTTCACAAGACCTTCCATTTCATTTGCAATTCAGTAACTCAATTCCACCTTTAGAAGACAGCCACCACTGTTTTGACTTGTAGGTGGAAGACCATCACCACAAAAGTCCCCTCAATCAATCCTTTCCTTTTGTCTATAACGTCCACAGATTTAACAGGAGCTTTTATGTGACACAGGATGATTATGTTTTACTGAGTCTACTTGCCTTCAAAAGCATCAATAAATCAACAAACCAGAGGTAATTAAGGAACAAAACAATGCTAAGGGCTTGATTTAAACACGCAAACCCCAGAACATTCAGGACTCAACCTCAGCCCATCCTGTCTGTCCCCCTGTGCAAAAATGTTCTTCAAACAGCGAGTGAGCTTAGCTCATCTGGATGTGTTCGGTGTATGGAAACTGAGTTTAATGTAGCTCCCCTGGCTTTTATCTGCTTAAATCAGAATCCTATTATTATTTTAACTTTACAATCACTTAATTAAAGCAATGTCCTAGCCAAAAAAAAATTGCCTGGGTGGCCTGAATATTATACCCCCATACTTTTTATGAGATGACCTTTCTGCTGAGTTCAAGAGACCATGCTCGATCACTAGATTTGGGTGGGAGTTTTGCTTGTGAGGATTATGAGTACATTACAAGCAAAGCCTACTTGATTTATGCATAATTCTTCACTGAAGGTACAAACAAGTAGCCATCAACTTAATGCCACTTAATGCTGAAGGCTTTAAAGGGTCACATAAAGTCATCCTTTTTATGGGACAGCAAAAATTCATGATTCTAGGTTAGAGTTATAAATGAATAAGTAAACCACTTGTGCATTGCGTTCAGTTGGCCCCTACTCCGAACTCATTTAGTACATAACAGCTTTGCTGTTGCCGTATGTCCTGCGCAGACATTCAGTGGGAGGTTTTATAATGTTCCACAGCCTACACAGCTCCCTTCTTTTTTTTTAATCTAATTTTCTGTTTTTAACAATATCTGATAAGAACACAAGAAGCAGTTGTAGCTCTACTACCCAGCCTATGCTTGTCATGTACTATATCGCAAAGTACAAAAGGACAAGGTTTATTAAAAAATGTGCAATGTGTGTAAAATACGTTCTGAGATATTTTACCTGTAAGAAGTAACGCACTCAGGAAGGCACCTTTGTGGTGGCCACATGAAGGATGTTTCCAGGTAATGGAGAGACTTAAGAGCTGACTAATAAAAATGTAGGGACTGTGTGGGCAGTAGCCGAAATGACTGGAGCCTGAGCACACAATCCTACAAATCCTTACGGAATAGGAAGGTTCGGGGGCTGGCAGTCCCCAAATGTGCTCCGAATTACCAGGCGAATGCAGTCCCATTGAATGAAAAAACAAGTTTGCATCAGCTTAGACCACTTTTTTCCCCTCCTATCCAAATGCAAGATTAAAGAGAGACATTGGACTTACACTGGATCTGTTTACTAGTACTATCTCAGTAAAAGTCCTCTCAGTGAGGAAGACAGTCCCCCTCGAGGACTCCATAATAAAGGAAGATCTTCTAAAAAAAGTCACTGGGGCACTAGATTTGCTCAGTGTCGTAGGGCAGCTCAGTGGCATACCCAAGGAAAAGAACCGGTACCTTCACCTGAAACCCATGGCACTACCCACTGCCCTCCTCAATTAGATCTACCAAAAAGCAGGAAAGGCTCAAACTCAATTAATCAAGAGCAAAACCGGCTACCCCTCTGGGAGGGTCCCAACAAGAAACTGTTCTGTGGGAGGATAACCAAAACATGTAGTGGCTGAAAAGGAGGCTAAGAAAATTAAGAAAGTAGAAAAGGTTACGATTAATCTAAATCCCTGTAAACTTACAAATCAGAGGTCAACACGTGAGTAACAAAGAGATGTCTGATAGCCGTAAGCACATCCTCAACCTATAGACACAGAAAATGAGTGCGCATTAAGACAGCATGATGAGAGGTGAAGCCAAACAACCTGAGTGGGCTGAATGACACTGCAAGGCAATAGTACAGGATGCTGTTCAGAAGGGAGGTGATGCTGGGTTTATTCTTGGGATCCTGTTTAAACACAGTGCTTAATAGCTCCTACCGATCTGATAAAAATACTTGATGAATATGTGAAGCTTCCTCGGCAGTTGGGGTGAAGTAGAAGGTCTTTCTCTCTTTCTTTCCCACTCTGTCAATGAAGAATGCCTTGACCGAACTAAGTGGTTTCTCTGGGGAATTGGACGTGATGGGAGAGACACAATACTTTCCCCTTTCTCCAGGTTTGTTACATGACCCTGCATTGGACTTGGCATTGTAACCATTAGTAGAGGACCCCATGAAGAGATTGAAGGGTACAAAATGAAGTAGTATTGTCAATTGAAAAGTCCATTTTCTCCCCATTTTTGTTAAACCTCAACACAGTAGCAGTGTACTGACTAGGAAACGTATCCCCCCACTCTTGTTTCATCATACGAAAATGTTGGCACTGATTCCCTGCAACATGAAAGCAAATGTCTGTAGATATGCCTGGTATATAACAAGCGACTGTCATGCCGTGATGTGAGACTAATTGATTTGAAGGCAAACACCTTGACAGACAGGCAGGCAGAGCACACACAAAAATAACAGGAAGGTAAAGGAAAGACACTGATGTACAGCATATCCCTGTTGTCTCTACCGTGCTTGACAAGCTCTTTATTCCTTACAAATAAAGAAACACCAGGCATTGTGGCTATTTTAGCAACAAACGTCAGAAGAGAACTGTATCATCATCCTAGCGTACAGACCTCGTGCCAAAGCGGGATGAGCTATTTTGGCAATCCCTGCACACCGAAAACAGACTTTTCCCCCAGACCTTTCACAAATTCTTTCCTCCCTCTTCAATAACAGCGCCCACCATCAGCCAAGCTACCAGCAGGCTACAGCGACCTGTACCCATTTCTGTCCATTCCCCTCCAGACCTCTGCAAATCATAATTTCCAAAATGTGGCTGGGGCTAGTGGAAGCAGAACCCGCAACTTTCAGCTCACGGAGACCCAGAAAGAAGAAGCAAGCCTCTGGCTGTGTGTAGTAGCAAAAGCAGCGGCAGGACGTACTGGGCTGCCCAGCACGGTCTGGTCCCCTCAAAAGGTGCCAACAACCCTAACCAGAACAGGATGTCGGGATAATGTAAAGCATCCACTTTTTTTTTTCCCAGTTGTCCCCGCCATCAGTCACCGTGCCCCCTCCCCCTAAGTAAATGAAATCAATCAGCAGGGATTTCTGTAAAATACATAAAACAGTCATCTTCCAGACTCTACCAGAAGATAAATGGTTCCAGACATTGGACTGCAGCCATTTTCCCACACATGCTACAGTGTTTTGTCATCCATATTGGGCCATAATAGTGAGTGGGTTTTGTTGGTTTTTTTTTTTTTTTTCCCAGTCAGCAGCCAATGCTTCTGCTTCTAACTCGTACATTAAAAACACTGCAACAAGAGTAATTTTTCTGTACGATTTGTAATAGAACAGTTTCGTTCCCAATAATACAGTCTGGAGTCTTGTACAGAACTTTTTGACACTTTTCTGCTACAGCTAATATTGCCGTACTGCTCCCAGCTGGAGCTTCACAAACCTTTTTGGGATTAATGCATATCACCCCAAATAAGGGACACTGAACTGAAACGAGAATGAAACTATGAGCACTGCAAACCTTATCTGAGAACCTGCTAACAAGAAATAATAGGATTGCTTACAATATCTCACGCTGGCTTTTGTGCTAGTTTCAAAGAAGGATGCAAATACATGACAAAAGATGCATCACAATGTGAGTTTACAATTAATTTTAACATATTTTAGAGCAATCCTTAATAATCTGTTAACATAAAATGCACTTTGGAAAGAACCATGGGGCTTTTTCATTATTAAGAAATGTGCAACCAAAGTCTATCCTTAATTAAATCAGGAGTAATTTTATTAACTGCAGTAGACTTAAACCTGACTTACATCAGTGTAAGTGAGGGTAGGATTTAGCCTCGGGGTGTTTATACACTGTAGTTCCAGTTAGTTTAGATCTATTTGGGTGGGAACTCCTTTCCCCTTTCCAGAAAAAATATTCTTGCCTACCCTTTTTCACCTCGCAACTGGGGCCAAAGCAGTCTTTTCTTCTAAGATATTTTTCAGAAAGGTTACCAACAAATCTTATCCTCGACAGGAGATGACCTTATTAAACAAAACCACCCTCTGAAGTGATGGACACCAGCGGTTTTAAAGTTTGTTTACAAGTTTTTAAGCAAGCCACCTCTAACAGATAAGCTTATTTACATCTTAAAAATAAATAAAAAACTTTCAGTAAAAGCTATTTTATAAAGGAGCTACTTATGTCTGTTTTCAAATCTGAAAAGCCCTTCCAAACAGTACTAGCTGCTGTATTAAACATCCCTTCTACAGTATAGAAACTTACTGTCCACAGATATCCTTGGGCTTCACTGTACCTTTGAACCAAAATCACTTTCTTCTGTACTTCATTTTCTGCTCTCTTGAAATCGGATTCCCAGCTCCTGACAGATGGCTCCTCTGTCACCGAGCGCTGCTTCCGCCTCCTTATCGCTGCCAGCTAATACTTCCACGATGCTTAGCTGTTGTCTGCGGAGCTGTGCTCTACATCATTTCTACTCTGATCAATGCTCCGCTTGGTTTTAGGTTGGTTTCTAGTCCCGCCTCCTGCTCTTGAAGAAACGAAAACTCACAGCTGGATTTTCTATAAATCATCCCTTTTAACAGTGGCTGAGCAAGTATGGCAAATACTACAGCTAAGACCTGCTGCTCTATTTGAAACTTCAAAAACAATTCCTCATCTTAATGATGCACACATGAAAGTTAATCACGTACTAAAATCACTAATACTGAAAAATAGTGGCCAGATAATTGTGACCTTCAGGGCTTAGGAGCTGATTAATGTAATACAAAACTCCTCTCTGTTCCAGAGAGGGAATATGGTAAAACATACTGCCTCAGTGAACGGCTTTATATAATGTTTCGCTTTGAACAGGAGCTTGTCATTCTTACAAAGATAAATTTACATTTGCAATACAGAGCTTTTTGACAGACTAACCCAGCGTACATACTATTTAGGCTAGCAGCCCTAAGCTTGAAAGAGCCTTTACCATCATAGCAGCTCTTTTGAAGTGTGGGCAGGAAATACTTTTATTTTCCGCACAGCACTGAGCGCACTATACAGCGCTGAACTCATTATCATGTTTAACATGTTTAACAAAGCGTGGAGTATAAAAGCAAGGTGGTACCATAAAACCAGCACTACGAACTTTGTTCCCATGAACAAAACAGAGCCGAGTTTCTGTAAACTGTAAATTGTTTTAATCCTCCACCCTCCAGACGTTCTTAAGGAACTGTGCTGTGGAAATCAAAAATGACTGGGCAGATCTGGATACAGTCTGAATGGGCTGCAAAATCCTGGGGTTCTTGGGTTTTTCCACAGTGCGAGCCGCATCCCAGCTGAAAGTGTCGGCAGGGCTCTCTGCCCTCTGCCCGACGGTTAAAGCCATCTCTTTCTTCACTAACAGCTGCTCCTGTCCCGGTGGCACACAGGGTCCCCCGACCGCTGCCCACGGCTGTGGGCAGATCTGGATACAGTCTGAATGGGCTGCAAAATCCTGGGGTTCTTGGGTTTTTCCACAGTGCGAGCCGCATCCCAGCTGAAAGTGTCGGCAGGGCTCTCTGCCCTCTGCCCGACGGTTAAAGCCATCTCTTTCTTCACTAACAGCTGCTCCTGTCCCGGTGGCACACAGGGTCCCCCGACCGCTGCCCACGGCTGGTTCAGCTGGGGATCA